TCATGGGGCTCAGGGCAATAACAAGAGGGTGATCAGAGTGGGGAAGATTGGCACGAGAGCTTTGGGCTCTCTTTGGGGTACGGGGAGCCCAGGCTGTCTTCTCATCCTTTTGGTCCTGGAAGAAAGAGTCCCGATAAGGAGGAGTAACCACGGGGGATTTCTCCTTGACTGGAGGAAGGTTGGCCCAACCTGTAGGATGGGAACATAAACCAGTACTACATGTACCATCATTGTAGCTTCCCTTTATATGGTGTTTTATTGTTTATAACTCACTTTCCTCTTGGAATCCCTGGTTTCCTTCTCAAGACTTTCAGCTTAGGCCAATCCTTAGCACGGTGCTCCTACATAGCTTGAGCTTAGTAAATGCCTGTAGAACTGACAGGGCCTGCCTGCTGCCAGGACGCTCCCTCCCAGAGCCAACTTGGAGTCATTTTGTCTCTACTACGCATATACTTACTCAGGGACTTGCTGTCTCCCCTGTAAACTCCTTGAAGACAGATACTGTTTTCACTTTTGTCTTTGTCCATCCATGAACGAGCACCTGATCGTAGGAGGTACTTCCCATATGGTTGATTAATGGATGAGAGGCTTCATGGTACAAGGATGCACTAGAAGGAGCTCTGGATTTGACATCAAAGGGTCTGGGTTCAAATCCCAGATCTACCTCTTACCCCCTTTATGTCCTTGGGTAAGTTAATTCCCTTCTCTGGGCCTCAGTCTCCTCATCTATGAAATGGGTATCATGCACAGAGGATTATAGAATTTAGAGCTTGCAGGAACATTGGAGATCATGAATTTTGACCTTTAGACACAGAGAAGGAAAAGAGGAGGCAATAACCATTCATTAAGTGCCTACTGTGTGCCAAGCACTTTACCAATATTATCACGTTTGATTCTCACAATGAAGGAGATTTTATTTATTATTTATTTTTATTATTATCCTCTATTTTACAGTTGAGGAAACTGAGGCAGACAGAGAGTAAAGTAACTTGTCCAGGGTTACACAGCCAGCAAATGTCTGAGACTGGATTTGAACTCTGATTTGAGAGACAGAGAGAGTGAAAGAGAGAGAAAGAGACAGAGAGAGTTTGGAGGGAATAAAAGATAAGATCTCTGTGGCAAGGTCAACTCCCAGCTGCTGGCACTGCCAGGGCCATACCCGCCCAGGACCATAAATCAAGCTGGGCTGTGGGGGTGAGGGGATGGCATTTGGGCTGGGGTCAGAGTAGGTAGAGCCCTCTGGAGACGTGCTGTGTCAGCAGAAAGCAGTGTCCAGCACGATGCCAAGAAGGTAGAGGTGCTGACTGTCACTCAACCTCAGAAGGAAGACGTGCCCGTTGGGGAATCCCAGGGCCTCAGTAGATTTGTCTAGTCAACAAACCAGATCACACCCCCATAGTTCTAGTGGACAGTTTTCTGAAGAAGAAACCCACAAATATTCAGAGTCCTTCAGACCCTGCCTCTCCTCCTGGGCCCAGACACATAGATACTCCCCAACTACTTCCTCCCCCCAAAAGAGGGATGTCAAAGACTCCCCTCAGCTAGGGGTAAAGATACAAAGCTTCCTTCAAAAGGCTGAGCACACACCCCTTCTCTACAAGCCTGCTGTTCCCTCACCCCAAGGGGCTGGACATATAGACCCTCCTCCCCCAGACCTCCCCAGAGGGGCCTGGGCCTTGTCCAGTTACTGGGGTGGCCTAAAGAGCTGTGGGCTGGGCGTTAGTTTCTCACGCTCTCCTGCTCCCTTCCCTGCCTCACCATTTCCTCTGCTGGTTGAGGGGGGTGGAGGGGGGCGGGGCAGGCAGCTCAGTGACATCAGAAGGAGGGGGGCGGAGTGTTCCAGAGCAAAAAAGCCTCAAGAGGCCACCCCCGCATCGTAGGACCAATGTCTGCCTTCAATGAGTGCATAGAGAGGGGGGGCTCCCTAGGGTATGACAACCCCAGGAGCAGGGTTCTGGCTGACTCTTAGCAACACTCAGAGCCTGACATCACCCCTACTCCCCATCCAACATTGTTGCTGCTGGGGACTGAGTCACTGACCCCTGCCGAAATCAGGGGCATTGACGCCACAGATGGGATCAGCAGAGGAGCAAGGATTCTAGGGCAGACCCAAGGTTTCCAATGGGTTGGACTTAGGGGATCAGCCCTGCCTTGGAGGGGAGGGGAGGCCAGCTAGGGTCTCTTTCATCATGTCTACAGCTGTGAAATTCAGCTTTTCAGTCTGCCCTTCAAGGCTCCTCCAAATTCCACTTCCCCATCCCTTTCCTGTGATTAGCTTCTGTGTTCCAGCCGGGCAAACCTGCCCCTCTCCCTCCCTCGATCTCTTTTCCCTCCTGCCTGGGATGCCCTGATCTCCTCTCCTCTCCCAGCCCCCTTCCCCCCACCCCAGCCCTGTCCCTCCCTTCCTTCCTCATCCCGTTCCATATTCCCCTCCTCCAACACTTCCTTGACTAAACAAACCCCTTTCAACTCCACCCCTCTCCATCTCAAGGCTCCCTCCATCCAGTTCCTTTTCTGTCTTTTTAGCTTGGTCTCTGTCTACTGGGCTTCTTTTGCCTTTCCTCTCTTCTCCTTAGGATGGACACTCCCTGAAGGAGATCGTTGCCTTTTTGCCTCTGGATGTACCATCCTACACTTTTAGTACTTAGGACTGGGCACTTGGGGAGGTGGGGTCAGGGTGGGGTGGGATGGGGAGAGAGTGGGGAGGAGAGATGGGGGAGAGATGAGGGCTTTGAGGTCGGGGCAGTGCTGATCAGCCTGGTATGGGGAGACTAGGACTGATAGGGATAGAGATGAGTGGACAAATCATCTTCTCTACCCCATCCTCACCTCCAGGGACCCAGGTATAGACCCTCCCTTACAGGCTCAATAGGTCCTCATACGTCCATCCTGTTTTAGGGTAGGCAGAGCCAGTATAAACTCTGTGTGTGTGTGTGTGTGTGTGTGTGTGGTGGGGGAAGGAGAGGGTGTCTGTTCTTTGTGGAGACAGGAGAAAGTGTAGGTTAACCTTAGGGATGTTTGAAATTTCATATTGAACTTCTAAAGCTGGGTAGACAGGATAGCTCTCATTACTGGTGAAGAGGACACACTCTTCCCTGTAATTCAGGAAAGGCAACCTGGAGAACGTGGCCTCCATACAGAGATTGGGAAGAAAAGAGGAGGAAAAGCAGATAAGAGAGAAAGGGTTGGTGGCAGAAAGGTGTGTGTGTGTGTGTGTGTTGGGGGAGAACTTGGCTTGTTCACATTCAGACCTCCCGGAGTTGTCCCCAGCACCTCCTCCAGTGATCCAGGGGCTGGTCAGGCCGGTTCCAGATACCCTCAACCTGGCTCTTTTCCCTTAGCTCCAGCTCCTTCTCTCTCAGGGTTTCCTTCCTTCCTTCTTTCTTTTTCTCTATCATTTGCCAGGAGAAGATAGTCAGCTCCTTGGCCCATACTCTCCTGACTACACCACCCCTGTTCTGCTCCCCTCACCCCACCTCTGAGTGCCCGGACACAAAGACAGACCCACGGACAGCTGGGTAAATAAGGAGGAATGGAGTGTGGGGTGGTGGTAATCTGAGAAAGTTTCCTGGAGGAGGGGAATCAGAGAGAGGAAAATCTGATGACTGTGAAGGATGTGTTCCATCAGTAGAATAAGGCTCAAGAATTATCAATTTAACATTTCATTAATTATCCATTAGCAGCCTACTTTGTGTTGGGGACCGGGAAGACAAAAATGAAAGCAGATGAAGCTGGAGAAGTTTAGGGTCTGGAGTCAACATTCATTGAGACCCCAATCCAGTGTGAGTGGGGAGAGAAAGAAAGTAAAGTGAAGAATTGGTTCTAGAATCAATCAATCAATCGAAATTCATTAGGCACTCACGTCCCTTTCAGCCAATATCCTAGAATCCCAGGATTCTTTTACCTGCATTTCCTGATAGGAAACTTACAAAAACCCTCTAATGTAGTCAGGGTGAGGATTCTGTTTATTTTTACAGATGAGGAAACTGAGGCTCTGAAAAAATCAACTGACTTTGCTCAAAGTCACAGAGCTAAATCAAGAGCAGAGCATGACCTGTAGCCTCCCATAAAAATCTTTACATTATCTGTTCCAGCAGCGACCTGGGCTTCAATTATATTGGGAAAGAAGAGGCTCAGAGATGTCTAGGGACTAAACCAACGTCACACAGCACCCCACAGTGCAGGGCTAATGGAACAACGCAGATCTTTCAACAACCATTCAAAGGCTCATATTCCGGGTTATTCCCCTGCGGGACAATGTAGCCTATCCTTAGGGTTACTCTCGGTCCTCCGACCCGAGCCAGGGTTACCCTCTGTCCTGCTTCGACCAGAGTACATGTTCATGCCAGGATCTAAGGCCGCGTCCCGAAGCTGCAGTACTGACTCCGGTGACTCCCCCAACCCAGGGGGCGACGGAGAGCTCTCTTGGTCCTTCTGTCCCTCCGCTCCCCATCTCTCTATGCCGGAAGTTTGGCTGCTCTTTCCAAAGCACAACAGCATCTCGATGGTGGGGAGGGAATGGAGCCGGGCAAAAGAGGGGGTGGATTTCTTGGGGTCCAATCTCAGAAAGACATGAACGGCAAAAAAAGAAGGATCTTCCACTCCAGAGAAAGACTCATACATTATACATCATATAGTGATAATCAGTTATGAGAGAAGCCTTTTCTAATGTTTAGGCGAAACAGAGATACGCGCCTCTCCTTTCCCCCCTCCCCCGGGGAAGAGAGCAAATGATGGAACAGGCCGAACTCAGACCTCTGACTCTAGGGGCGGATGGTAGAGTCCTCAGGCTCCTCCCCCCAGGGCAGTGGATGGTCTCGTCCGAAGCGGTGAGTGCGGTTCTTGGGCCTAGGCTGCTGGGGGTTCTGCCGCCCCTGCCCCCGGGCTCAGTGAGCCTACGCCGCTCCCCAGGTGCTGGGGCCCCACGTGGTGGGACCCCCGGGCTGGGCTGGGCGGGGCCCGGGGGAGGGGGCCTCGGGGCGCGGGCGGGCGTCCGGGCTCAGGCGAGGGGGCGGAGGAGCGGGCAGAGTCCGCAGCCTTCCCGCCTGCGTCCATCTGTCTGCGGGGCCAACCGATCCGCGGCGAGCCCGGGCTCGACGTCCTCTTGAGGGACGGCGCCCCCGACGGTCCCAAGGATGCACCGGCGGGGCTGAGGTGCCACCCGCCGCCCCAACCGCCCCTGCCCCGGGGTCCGGGACCAGGTAGGGAGGGCCCCCCGAGTCCAGCTTTGGGGGGCGACCGGCGGCGACAGCGCCCCGGGCTGGTGCAAGGCTCGGACCCAGCTCCCCGGCCCAGAGGAGCCCGGGGCCTCAGCTTATTCATCTGTGAAGTGGGAGGGCGTCGAGGTCTCGGGCTAGAAGTGATCCCTCCCACCTCGGCGTCTGCCCTCTCGCGCTAATTTTGTTTCCCCAGAATGTGCACCCAGTGTTTATGTCACCACCATATGTGGTAGCAAACAAACGTCAGCACTTCCTACGTCTTAGCTTAGTGCCTGGCACATAGTAGGTGCTTAATAAATGTTCATTGACTTGAATTATGATAGCAAACCCCTGATAAATCAGGGGTAGATGCTCACGGGTTGTCTAGAATTGTGGCAGATGAAGTCATAGGATTCCAAGTCTGTGTTCTTGCCTGGGATGTGGCCGTGTTTGTCTTTACAGACTTTACACTTGCCTCGGGGTCTGCTAGGGGAGGCTGGCCGTGCAAATTGGCTTTATCCTCTTTCGGTGGGGGGTGTGACCCGAGGGCCTGTAGTGGAAGTGGGCTTGGATCTGGAGTAGGAAGCTTTTCAAACCTAGCTGGGGGGCACCTCAGAGAAAGGACCTCACTGGGTGCTCCATCACCCCTTGATTTTGTAGATGAGGAAACTGAGGCCCTAGGGAGACTAAATGACTTGCCCAAAGTCACCCTGGTAGTAAATGTGAGAGGGGGATTCACTCGGGTCCTCTGACTCCATAGCTGGGCCTTTTTCTGCTACACTATGATCTTCCTAGGCACTCACACTGTAATTGGTGCCCTTGGGGAAGCCTTGTTTTCCAAGAGTAGTGGTTGCCCCTTGGCTGTTTTTTTTTTCCCTTTTTATTTGAGGCAGAGTCTCTATCTCAGCTGGGTTGGAAGTGCATCAGTCACTCTTGGTTGCAGTTCCACTGCTGATCACAGCATGGATTGACCCACTCTGGGCTATTTTGTTTTACCCTTCCTTAGACAGCCTGGTCCCCCTGTACCTTCCATCTTTTCTGGGAGGCTCAGCATATTGGTGGTGCACTTAATTCAGACACTCAAGTTTGGCTTTAGCTACCGCAACTCACAACTTCTGAGCTCAAGAGATCCGCCAGGCATGTGCCACCACACGTAGCCCCCTGACCAATTGAGGTGTCATTAGTGCTGGAATGCCTTGCCTGCTCAGATGCTGGAAAGTTCAGTTTCAGGTGGTCCCATGCCTTTAGTGTGAATCACTTTTTAATCCCTTCTCTTCATATATAGCTCTGTGTGTGTGTGTGTAAGTAAAGCACACTCCCTGGAGAGCACAGTAGGGAGATACTGAGGAAGAATCTAGGAGTTCCTAATTGGAGTGGAGAGATAGAGTTCAGAGATGAGTATACCTAATGGATGGAGCTCTGGCTTAAAAAGTGGTTAGAGAAGACTTTCTGGGAGAAGTATAGAGCTTTGTTTAGAAGGAGTATCAGAACTGGACTAAAGAGAAAAGGGACTGAGAAAACAGGAATTCTTAAGTTGGGATGAAAAGCCTCTGTGAAGGTTCATCTGATAAGAAAGATGAGTTAGCTGAAGAGATAGGAGTAACTTTTCTGGAGGGTATAGTATTGGGAAGAATGAAGATGCAGGAGGCTAAAACAGAAGTGGGAGTGGTGAGAGGAATGTCCTTGGAGACTGTGACTCCCAAGTCTGGAGTTGACCCATGAAATCAAACAACTGATTGGTTGCTGAGCAGAGGAAGAATGGGTCAGTGCAATGACTGAGAAAGATGAGGCTGACAACCTCTCTGGCATATAAGGGAAGGTTCGAACAGCCTGTTTTACTGTCTGTCTTGTGGGAGGGTCTCAGCACCTGACCCAGGACCACGGCAGTGACTGGGGAACCTCTGGGTTTTGACTACAACATTTATATTGTATCTTAGATTGTTGTGGGGCAGCGTAAATTCTCCCACTAAAGCCAGAGGGGTTTGAATGACACGTGGTCAGACAGGGTAAGTCCAAGTAAGCCACCAGATCAATTTGAAAATGTAGAGATTCAGGAAAGGTTCAGAGTTTAGATAAATTTGCCAGTGAGTGATTTAGAATTGGGCCACTGAGGGAAAGGAGGATAATTCAGAGAACGTCACAACATCAGTGACCTTTGAGGCATACTATTCCCTCTGCCCAGGCCAACTTCACTAGTGCTTTGGCTAACCTTGAGGGATGCTTCAGGAACACTGGAGAGGGACCTAGGAGTTCCTAACTGGAGCGGAGAGACAGGATTTAGAGTGGAGCACATCTGATTGGTGGAGCTCATCTATCTGGTTTTGGGAAAAGACTTAGGAGATCCCGGGGCACAGCTCGGGAGAAGAGCTAAAAAGAGAGATAAAATTCATTCAACAAGCCATTATGGGTGCCTGCTATGGAGGGACTTCAGGGGACAGGAGTATAGTTCACAGGGACTGAATTCAAATCCCATTTACTACCTGTTGGACACTGAATGGGCCACTTAGCATTTCCGGGCCTCAGTTTTTTCTGTTGTGAATAAAATAAGGTTTCTGGAGGTGTTTTGCCAGATCTGTTACAGCTTTCCTGAGCTTAGGGAACTATCTAGAGAAGGGACTGAGAATACAGAGATAAAAATGAGACAGTCCTTGCACTTAGGGAGCTTACATTCTAAAGAGAGAAGAGTAGATACCTCCCACAGGTGGGAGAGAGCCTTTGCAAAGGTGGGGAGGTGGGAGATGGCTTGTCCTGTACTGGAAAGAGCAGGTAGGGCCAGTTTAGCTGATGGGAATATGAGAGGTGAAGGAGGAGGAAGGGTCGAGGATGGCTAGGCTGGTGGTGCCTTTAACGGAAACAGAAGCTAGAGAAAATGTGGACAGGGGAGAGAGGAGAAGAGGAGTTCTGATTTCTCTTGTGTCCGTATCAAGTATGAGATGCCTGCCTTGTGATGTCCAGTAGGCAGCTGTGTGATGTTGGCACTGAGGCTCAGAAGAGAGCCGGCTATGAGGGGGATCATTTTATTAGTTGTCATTATTTCCCCATCACCAAACACAGGGCCTGACACATAGCAGATGCTTCATAAAATACCTGTTGATTACTTACCTGTGTAGAATTGAATCCATGGGAGCTGATACACCAAGAGAGGGGTATAGAGAGAAAACAGACAAAGACAGAGGCCAGAGCCTTGATGGACACAAACAGTTAGAGGGCACAGGATGGATGATTAGACAAAGGAGGAGGAGTGAGAGGGAGGAGAGCCTGGAGGGAACAGTGCCAGAAAAGCCCAGGGCAGAGCTGAGTATCCAGGAGAAGGGCTTAATTAGCTGACATTATTAAGTGCCTACTCTTTCCTGCGTGCCAGTTATGGGGATACAAAGACAAACATGAAATAGACCTGCCCTCAGGGAGCTTCCATTCTTTCGGGGGAGATGACATACATATATATGTACAAAATAAACAGGTTAATTGGGAGGAAGGTGGGAGACCTAGCCCAAGAGCAAATCAGGAATGACCTCTTTAGAAGGTGGTGTTTGAGCTAAGTTTTGAGATGAGAGGAAAAGGAGCTCTGTGGGTGAGAATCAGTAAGGCCAGTTTGAAGCAAGCTATGAAGATATTTAAATATGAAACAGAAGAGTTTATATTTTGACCTTGAGGTAATAGGGAGCCATTGCAGTTGATTGTGTGTGTTTGTGTGTTTTTGTATGAGTGCGTGTGGGGGGGGGGGAGTGGGGGGCATGGGGGTGGGGGGGGTGTTACATGATCAGACCCTTGTTTCGGGAAAGTAGTTTGGTCTCTTTGGAGGAGGACTGGAATGGGAAGAGACTTGAAGTAGAGAGACCAGTTAGGCTATTTCCATAAGGCCAGGATAAGGGCCACCATGTGAGTAGAGAAAAGGGGACAGATGTTGTGGAAGTAGAAATAGTAAGATTTGGCAATTGCTCTGTGGTAAGGAAGAGTAAAGAGCTCAGGATGATGCCCAGGCTTCCCAGCTCGGTGTCTGGTAAGATGGGGAGTGTTCTTGCTAGAAATAGGCAAGTTCAGGGGGCAGCTAGATGGCGCAGTGGATAGAGCACTGGCCCTGGAGTCAGGAGGACCTGAGTTCAAATACAGCCTCAGACACATAACACATATTAGCTGTGTGACCCTGGGCAAGTCACTTAACCCCATTGCCTAGCCAAAGGAAAAAAATAGAAATAGGGAAGTTCAGGAGAGGGTGAGTGTTGGGGAAAAGATGTTCAATTTAGTTTGAGACACCTCTGAAATGCCCAGTTGTCAGCCGGTGATCTGGGACAGGAGGAGTAGAGCTCGAGAGAGCTTAAGGGTGTGTGTGTGTATGTATGTCTGTGTGTCTCTGTGTGTGTTATCTGCATGACAATGATGATTCAACCCATGAGAGAGTGTACAGAGAGAAAAGTGGCTGGGCAAAGCCCTTGGGGGCACCAGCAGAGAGGTCCAGAGGACAAAAGAAGATGAGAATTTAGAAATTAAGAAGTGGTTAGTAACCATGGAGTGAGCAATTTCATTTAAGTCCTGAGGTCAGAAGTTCGATTGGGATGGATTTAGATGTGAGTTAGTGAAAAAGAAGTGAACACAGTATAGACAGCTTTTTCTAGGAGTTTGGTTATCCGGGTAGGGGGATATAGTCTAGTAGTTTGAGGGCATGATAGGGTCAAGTGAAGGTTTTTTAAAGATGGAGGATGCTTGGGCATGTTTATAGGGACCATGGAAGGTAATTAGGGATAGATTTGGAGATGAGAAGAGGGTGATTGAAGTGGAGGCTGCCAAGGCGGATGGGATCAAAGGCACAAGTAGAGGGAATGGTCTTGGTGAAGGCCACTCTTCAGAGACTGGAGCAAAAGATGAGAAATGTGAGGGCATTTTCAGTGGAGTACTGGGGGAGAGGTAAGTCATCATAAATGGCTTGTATTTTCTGAGGCAAATTTGGGGCCATGCCCTCTACTGAGCACCAGGACAAGAGTTGGGAGTGGGAGGCTTGAAAGAAGAGATGGTTTGGAAAATCCATTGTGTTTTGTAGGCTATAGAGTCAGTCAGGGAAAAAATAAAAGGATTGCCAGGCAGCAGTAATGAGGTCTGAGTATGAGGCCTATCAATTTGTAGTGAACTCAGTCAACATGGTGTGTGAATTCTTTCATTACATGGGAGGCTGATGGGGGAGAAGAGAAGGTGAGGTGGGTGTGGGAGGCAAGGAAGCACCCAGGGAAATCTTGGGGAAGACCTTTGAAATCCTAGGTGAGAAATTGACATTTTCAGACATTCATCATCGTTCATTAGCAGACATATTAAGTTCTAGTTCTTTGAAGTGAATTGGGGAAAGATATTTAAGAAATGGTCTTTGCGAGCAAGGATTACAGATTTCATAGCAGTTAGAGCTGGAAAGGATGGTAGAGACAATTCTGTCTTGCCTCGTTTTTTTTGTTCCTGAGGAAGCATACCCTGGGTAGATCAGTGATTTGCCCAAGCTGCTTGGGCCCCAAGGTCAGGGAAGGATTCAGGGAGGGGGTGGGTCTGTGAGCAGCATCAGAAGGGTATGTGTCAGCTTGGAGTCCTCGGTGTGTCTAGGTGTGATTTTTTTCCTCCAGAGCCAGCCAGCCGCCTGCCAGGTTGGTGGGAGCAGCCAGCGGCCGGGGGATGAACTGCCGGGCTGAGGTCCTGGAGGTGTCCGTGGAGGGGCGGCAGGTGGAGGAGGCCCTGCTGGCCGTGCTGCACACCGTGCTTCTGCACCGGAGCACCGGCAAGTTCCACTACAAGAAGGAGGGCACCTACTCCATCGGCACTGTGGGCACCCAGGACATCGACTGTGATTTCATTGACTTCACCTACGTGCGCGTCTCCTCCGAGGAGCTGGACCGGGCCCTGCGCAAGGTCGTTGGGGAGTTCAAGGTAGGGTGACAGCCAGAGAGATGGGCTTCTTCCCTCTGTCCTCAAAGCTGTCTACATCGTCACTTGTCCATTTGGGTTCTCATGTTTGGGCTGGTACTGCCCTTTTCTGTCCAACAAAGAGCCATCTGTATCCTTTGACTAGGCTGTCGACCTTAATGATTAGTCCAGTTTCCTGGGCCATTGGCCTGTCAGAACTGATCCTGAGGGTCCCTTTACTTGGCCCTTTGGCTTCTTCCTTTACGCCTTGTTAACCTGCCTGATCCCTGAGGATCAGTGGGTTTAGAGATCACAAATGCTCTGTCCCTAATCCCCTGCCTCCCTCTGCAGCTGCTGCCACCATCTCTTGGTGACAAGTTGAGCACTCACTCCCCCTTTCCTTCTGTTACACACCATGCCACGAGAGTGGGCTTCATAAGGGAAAAGAACAGTTTCCAGGCATGCCAAGAATAGGGTTGTAAGGAGTTGAGAGGACATTTAAAAGAAGAGTTCTCCATCTCTGCTGGGTGGTGGTTGAGCAATCATAATGACACCTCAGAGTTCTAGGACACTTGTCAGTTTGTGAAGTGCTCTCTCCACCACAGCCTGTTCCATTGCAGCCCATCCAAGGACTGTTACCTTCATTTTCCAGGCGAGGGAACCTGAGTTCAGAGATGGGAAGCAGCTCACCTGTGGTCCTATAGCCAGAATGGGAACCCAGGTGTCCTGACTCTTAAGTCTTTTCCCTTAGGCCACACTGCAGGCCTGAATGATTCCCTTGGCCGAGCCTCTTCCCACTGACCTCAAACATCTTCACCCAAAAGCTTCCAGATTTGAGATTTGCCCATTTGGACATTTTTGGGTTTAGCATTATTGGCTCCTTTGATGGGATCATTTAGTCACCTGACAGGTGAGAAAACTGACTCTCAGGGATATTAATGACTTATTCAAGATCAGAGAGCAAGTAAATAGCCCAGTTGGGATTTAAACCCAGGTCCTTTTACTCCTTAGTTAGCTGGGTGTTGCAGTGAATAGAGCACTAGGCCTGGAATCAGGAAGACCTGAGTTCAAATTTGGCTTCAGTCACTTACTAGCTGTGTGACCCTGGGCAAGTCATTTAACCTCTGTTTGCCTTAATCCACTGGAGGAGGAAATGGCAAACCATTCCAGTGTCTTTGCTGAGAAAAGCCCAAATGGGGTCACAAAAGAGTCAGAAATGACTGAATGACAACAGCAGCCTTTTGTTCCAAATCCAGAATTTTCTCCACTGCACCACACTTATAATCCCAGAGTCATGCCGAGCCAGCCAATCAAGAACCCTCCTGTGGCTGATGAGCTCTGGGTACTCTGCCAGCTGTAGCATCATTACTAAGAAATTACTCCTTCCTCCTCTTAGGGGAAGAGAAAAATGAAGTCATGAAGCATATGATATGACAGCTGGGCCACTTGGGTAGGAGTGGGAGTGCAAGAATAATTCAGTTGGACAACCAGTTCATCCCTTAGGGAGGTTTCCTAAGACGTTCCCTTTTCCTTGCACTCTGATTCTCAGGGCTGTGTCTACTTGACCTGTTCCCTACTTTGTCCTATTGGACTTAAACATGTAAATGTCCTCCTCAGAAAGGGAGGGATGAGGAGAAAGTGGAAAAGGCTGGAGTGCATGCTGGGGTGGGAGAGTGTTTGTTTGATAGTCAAAATGAGTTCATTTGGTTGGTTTCATTTCCAAGGGTCCTTGCCTGGAGCCCCTTGAGCCAAATGGACCCCTTATGGGTAGCCCTGGTCATAAAAGTGTCCAGGAACTTAGGCCACAGCTCCCCCTGTTCCCCTAGGAAAAGGCAGATCACTTTACAAATGACCAGGCAACTGTTGTGTTTCCTCTATAAAGGGATAGGCAGCCAATCCCAATTAACCCATCCCTTTTACTCAGAACATCTGGGTGGAGTTAGACGCCTCGTGCATTAATGATGGTAGACCCCTATTAGGGCATTTAAATCTATTCCCTGAAATGTGATTGAGGATTTGAGGCTTTCTTGGTCAGTAAGTGACTCACTCAAGAATGTGGTTTAGGATCTTTGGCCATCCAGGCGAAGGAGCCCAGGGTGGGGGGTCACCCAGACACCACAGTGCTGTGTCAGAGAAATTCCTAGAGCATATGGTCCCAGATGGCTTTCCTGTGGAGAACAGGGAGGTGGAGCCAGGGATGGACTGACCAGCTTTGATCCTTCTTTAACCCAGCGTCTTAAGTGTTTCTGTCTCAGGGTCCTTATAAAATCCATGGACCTGGGTTTGAATCCCAGCTTAGCTAATTAATCATTGTGATCTTGGGCCAGTCGCTTGATCTCTCTTGGCCTCAGTTTCATCTCCTGTAAATTGAGGGCTCTGGATTAAATGGATATCCCAAGTCCCTTCCAGCCCTAAATCCCAACTGCCTAGGCTAGGCTAAGGAGTTTAAAATGTATCTTGTGGCCAAAGAAGAAATTACTAAATAAAGGTGGTCTTTGAAGGAAAGGGTGTGGGACTCAGAAAGACTCAGAAAACTCTCAGGTTGGTTTGGGAAGTTAGGGAGGATGAAGAATTGAGGAGAGGCCTGACTAGAGAATGGGGGAGCAGGCTGAGCTTTTAGCTGTCAGTTTGATATTAGTACCAGTCTAGGCCTCAGTTTCCTCATCTGTAAAATGAAGGGGGGTGGATTAAACAGCCTTTGGAAATCTAGTCCAACTCTGACATTCTGTGGTTCTGTGGCAGTGGTGGGGTTGGCTGGAGACTTCCTCCCACATTCCACCAACAAGGCAGGTGGGGAATGGGGCATCGGCCTGGGCCGTGACAATGCTGTCTTTCTCTGGGCCTCACTCCTTACTCTTCCAAAGAGCTGATGTGGTATACCCAGGAACTTCCCTGGGGCAAGGGTAGAGTGAGTGGATGCTGGTATTGGAGCCTTTCGGTCTCATCTCTGTAATCTGTGCCTCCCTAGGATGCCCTTCGTAACTCGGGCGGGGATGGACTAGGGCAGATGTCCTTGGAATTCTACCAGAAAAAGAAGTCACGGTGGCCATTTTCTGATGAGTGCATCCCATGGGAGGTGTGGACAGTCAAGGTCCACGTGGTGGCCTTGGCCACAGAGCAGGAGAGGCAGATCTGCCGAGAGAAGGTGGGAGAGAAGCTATGTGAGAAGGTCATCAACATCGTAGAGGTGATGAACCGGCACGAGTACCTGCCCAAGATGCCCACACAGTCTGAGGTGGACAACGTGTTTGACACAGGGCTTCGGGATGTGCAGCCCTACCTCTACAAGATCTCCTTCCAGATCACAGATGCCTTGGGGACCTCAGTCACCACCACCATGCGGAGGCTCATTAAGGACACGCTGGCCCTCTAGTTTCAAAGAGCCAGGCCACGAGAGAGGACTGGTTGGGAGACTAACTCTTGGTAGCCTTTCCAGGGTTCTGTGGGCCTCAGCAATGGGGCGACCGAATTCTTTTTCTCCTTGAGGACTTGAATGGGCAAGGTGCATGTAGTGGGGGAGCCTGCTCTATATTCCTGGGGGGTATTTGGAAGGGGTTGTGACAAAAATCAAGGGTTGTGGTACCTGGGCCAATCAGAGTAGAAGTCAGGCCTGCTGGCCAAGCTTTCTAGGAGCAACCTGTTATCCTCAGGCCCTTCTTCGCTCCTGAGATGATCTCTTGAATTGAAGCTCCCCCCCCCTCTTTTTTTTGCTGACAGCAAAGGCTCTCTCCCCATCCCTCTCAAACTGTTGAAGGATATGCTCATCTTCAAGTCCTTGCTTAGGACACTATTACTGTCTTTTCAGATCCCTGGTATGGGAGTCCCTTTCCCCTCTTCCTCCTCTTCTGTACAGAAAACACACTAAGGAATAGTGAATAAAAGTTGGAAATGTGAGTTTTGGGGTGACCTACCCCCACCTCAGTCCTGTGCCCTGTGTTCTGTCCTGAGACATGGGTCTAAGTATTCAGCCCTAGGATATAGACTTTATCTGAAGCAGGGGGCAGCTCCTGCCCTGTAGCTTTCTATGCCTTTCTGCCTTTGGCTCCAGGGCTGGGCTGGGCACTGGGAGGAACTGGGAGTGTGTGTGGCCTAAGACTTGGGGGAGCAGGGGTCTCCTTGTGTTTCCCTGAGATCTTCCAGGGCTCAGCGACTACACTGTTCCGATGTGGACTAGAGAGATAGGATTGCTCTGATCCCCCCAGTGATTTGAGCTGTTCTCCTAGCACCATCCCACACCATTACCCTTAGGACACATCAGAAGGCTGGGTTATGCAGGCTTCTCCTTGATTTGTAGCAGTCTGCACCTGGTACCTGTTTGCCTGTAGTTACTTGGGGACATGTTTAGTGGATCTGATGACCACCATCCTTTTTAGTTCTGAACCTGTAATTTGTTGATAGTGACATTTGCCTTGGTTCTTTTCAGAGAGAGAGAAAATGAATGAGAGAGTGTGAGTGAATGTATGTGTGTGCCAGCACCAAACCTCCCTTACAAAGCAGAGTTAGACCTGGAGAAGGCCTGCCTGTGCTCTAGAGCCCTCTCTGCCCACTGGGCGGCTGAACAGGTGCTCAACCACTTAGGTCAACCAAACTCAGGAGACCGTCACTAAAAAAGGGACCCGTTGCCTTCACCCACATCCACAGCCTTGGAGCTTCCTACTCTTCTGACTGGGCACGTGGTGAAAAAGCGTGGATGTACTGGGAGCAGACGCCCCCCCACCCCAATGGAAAAAGCAGCTCCAAATGTTGAAAGCTGAAAGACAGTGATTTGGTGACTCTCTTCCTGTGTCGTCTTCATCTTTTTGGCCTTCAGTTTAGGATTATAGTTTCGGAGTCCCGCTAGGTCATTGAGGCCAAGTCCTCTTTCTCACTTTACTTATGAGGAAAGTGAGGTTGGGAAAAGTGAAGCGGCTTGTTCAGAGTCACGCAGAGTAGTGATATGACAGGGATCTCTGGCTCTAAATCCAACACTCTCCGCTATACTCAGTAGGATGTCTCTAGGCTGAGCCTCCGTATGAGTGGCTGGAGGGAAAGGTTGAGATGGGGAGAATTTTGAAGGGAGGTCTCTGGTGTAATGGAAAGTCTTGAAATGAGGAGAGTTGCGTTTGAATTTAGGCTCTTCCATTTAATTTACACCTTTGGGGCTTGTTATTTTAGACAAGGTGTAGGGGAGCTTTAGCTGAGGTCCCTTTAGGGCTAGTTGGGGGCTTTGAAAGGGGCGTGGTACAGAAGGTGATGGACATCCTCGGAGTGGGAGAGGGCTGGGATGGGGCCCAGGGGAACCGATAGTTCCGCCCTCCTTTCGCTCCTCCCCAGCTGTCCGTGGTGGGCAGCTCTTGTACACATCTGGCTTTCCCTGCACATCTGCGGGCCGCGGAGGATGAACGGTTCCGAGCCCGGGGAAGCGGTCCCGGGTTCTTGCTGTAATGTGTCGGGGTTGCCCCCGGGTGTGGGACTGGAGCCTGGGGCTGGGGGCCTTTCGGGGGCGCGGGCGCTGCAGGCTGCGGTGCTGGGAGTCCTCTCCCTGCTTGTGCTGTGTGGGGTTCTCTTCCTGGGTGGGAGCCTGCTCCTCCGGGCAGAGAGCCTGGCGGGTCAGTTGGCCCGAGAGCGGCGCCCGTCCCGGGAGGATGACTGGGGGTGCGGCGGCAGCGGCCATGGCTCTTAGAGTTTTGGCAACTGCTGCTTGACCCCTGGGACTTGGACCAAGCTGCCCCCCTCCCGGAGCGCGACTCTGGGGCCCCTGGGACGCAGCACCCTCGGGTCTCCAGAGGAGACGTCTTCTCGGTCCTTCCACGCAGCCCAGCCTCTGCTTTGGACCCAGCTGGAGCTGGAGATCCTCCAGCTGAGACCCAGGGATCTGGAAGCCCAGCGTGTGTGCGGGACAGGAGCGAACCCTCTCAGGCCGGAAGGTCAGAGGGCCCGTGGCCTGTAGAGGTGAGAGCTTCGCAGTAGAAGGCAGCCACTGTTGAGTCGGGCCGTGGTCCAGGTATCTTAGAGGCAAGGGAGACCAGCACCAGGGAGTGAAAGGGAGTGGGAGGGGCCTTGAAGCTACCTTCCCCCCACCCCCAACCCCTCAAAAAACTGTCCAAAGGTCTCAGGTCAGCTGGGACAATCGGTTTCTTCCCTTTCCCATTTGTTCTGGTATTGAGACCCTGTGTCAGGACCTTGGGCTGTGAGACCTGGGGTCTGGACCTGGAGGAATTAAGCCCGGGGAGGTGGCTAGGCTGGATGGATGGGCTTGGGCTTTCAGAGTGCCCCAGGGAAAAACACTTCTACTCCCCCTCCTGTTGCTTTCCTTACCCCCCCCCCCAATTCCTCCAGAATAATTAAAAAAAAATTACTGAATAGCTATTATGTTCAAGACACAGTGGTGGGCCCTTGACCTACTGGGACGTAAGATCAAGCTAGGACACCCCTCTCTCCCAGGCTACCCCCCCCACTATCCCTCCTCAGCCCCTGCCAAGTCTTTCACCACCCAGTGGGTAAGCACAGCCCTGGCCTTCACCTTGCAAAGCAATTCTACACCCTCCTGCCCTGTTTCCATTCTCCAGGTTCTCAGGAGTTGAAGAGTATAATGCCAAAACACAGTCCTCTAAGCTTTCAAAAAACACTCCTTCAGAAACAGAGACCATGGACTGAAGAGCAAGTTCTTTGATTTCGCCCTGAAGGTTGGAACCTGTTGGATACTCTTGTGGCCTCAATTTACCAATCTTTAAAATGGAGCAGTTGGTCAGATGATCTCTAACCTCTTCTGATTCTGTGATTATAAAAGGAGTTGGGGAGGAGCCAAGGGCCTGAATAAACATTTAAGAAGGCACCCCAGCTCTGAATCCTGGAGAATGGGTGGTCTTACTGAAGTCCGGCTGAGGTCTGTCCTCCCAGACGCCCAGATTGGTGTCGGGGAGGAGGATGGGACAGATCCCGGGCCTCTGGGATGACTTGGAAGTATGCTGACCTAAAGAGCTGGGAGCAGAGAGCTTCCAGCTGTGGCCTCTCCTGCTTCATCTCTGTCTCTTGGGTCCTTCTTGATCTCGCAGTGACTGTTCCCAGCTGGAAGGGGATGTGTGGGGCTGGGGGGCTAGAGAAGGCTTCTGTCCATTTCCCTGCATCCTTGATTTCAGCCAGCCTTAGGCCTAAGCCATACGGTCACTCTCCTTTCACCCATGGGGCAGGCAGAACCGTGGTCTTAGGGTGGAAGCTGCCGGAGGCTGGAGTCTGTTGAAGCCAAAGGCCCTCCCCTTCAATTTGGGATGGGATGTTTGGGAGAAGTTAATGATAGGTCATCACCTCCTCTCCTATTCTTTGTTCTTTTGAAAGGATCTCAAAGCACTTAACTCAGATTGGATTTACTAGACAATTGGTCTTGCCTGCTCCAGGGCTGAGAACTGAATCATGCTGCTAGGATTTCCAGAGTCTTTCTCCTTTCTCCTAAGCAACTAGTTCTTAACCAAGGCCCTGGGTCCTTAGCCACCCCCATTGATTGAGAGATCTCAGCTCAGACTTAATAGGGGTCTGTCGCCCTGTTGGACAAGAGAAACACTCCATCCGAGGTTGGGGAGATGAGGCAGGCTACGAGGAAGGAAGTTGAGGTGGGGGACCTGGAGGGTAAGTGAGAAAGGAGATGAGGACCAGTACTGGAATGTGGGGGTGGGGAAGAGTTGGAGGGAGGCATAGGGGTGGGAACAAACCGAGCCGCTGTTGAATCTTGATCTTCCTCAGAATGAATTAGGCTTATTTGTGTATAGCATTTTCCAGCTAATCCCTGTTATGTTAATCAATTCCACTTACCAGTGGAATTGAGACGCTTTCCATCACCCCAGGGGAGGGACACCATTTCCCCCCTTTTTCCCCTCCCCACATGCATTCCGTTCCATTTATCAAATACTTTAAGTGCTCACTGTATGCTGGACATTGTACTAGGTCCCGGGGTCCATCCCAAGGGACTCATCTCCACTCTCCTGAAGTCTGCAGTTGAATAAGGAATTAAACGTCAGGAACTAGGGTAAACATTTAAATATATCTATTTAACTAATGTATTGTGTCTGTACATCCTCCCGCTTTTCATGCTATGGCCTTAGCCTCTTCCTCATGGGATAATTTCCTCTAATATACTAGATGGTTTACTTTCCCCAGGCTAAAGCAGGGGAGAGTGTGAGTATTGAGTCTGTAGGAACAGGGGTGGGCTGGAACACTGGAAATGATCATAGCCTTAAAAACCTCCACAAAGCACACAGTTCCAAGAGGTCAGAACAGAGAACTCAGAGTCACCAGAAGGAATGAGTACTTTCCACCATGACTGAGGGGTCAGCAAGGACTGGCCAAGCAGAAGGAAGGGCCCCACAGAGCTCTCCCACCCCCAGCCTCCTGTCACCCAACCTCTGTCTCACACCTGGGGAGGTGGGAGGTGAAGAAGTGAGAGAAGTAGGGCTGAGGCAGGGAGGGGAGGCCACAAACAGTTTCTTCATCCAGGCTTATCTGGCTACCCTTGATCTGGACCCGCAGACTGATGGAGCCTGGGATTGGCTGGGAGGGTGGATAGCAACCTTCACATTCTCCCAAGAAAGATAAGAAGGCAGCCAGTCTCTGCTGGGTGGTCATCGCTACAGCCTTAAGATGGGAAGAGAAGGAATTAGGAAAATCTGGAAACCCTCTCTTTCCATCCCAACCCTTCAGCCAGCTGAACTGGGCTTGAAATAGACGAGGAAATGTGGGTGGGAGATCAAAGTTCCCAGCAGGCCAGGGACTCCACTGCTCCAAGAGAAGAAGCCACCAACAGAGGGAGAGGCTGGACTCAGACAGAGGTCAGACATCCTGGAGAATTTTTGGGCAGTCCCAGTAGGGAATGAGATCCTCAAAAGTACCACTGATGCTAGGTCAGGAAATCTGAAACAACAGGA